CTTCTCGATCGAGGGAAGGCCTGAGTGCTGGTGCGTGGAAAATGTATATTTATTTACTCAAGGCATGGTAAGGTCAGGAATGCTCAATTGTTAAGATAAATATATATTTTCTTTTCAACGCAGGAAGTGTTAAGACTGGCCCACAAATCCTGCTTGTACTATCCCGTGTACCCGCAATACGCGACACAAACAGTGAGTTGATAAAAATTGAGCTTGTATTCCGTAACAAAATGATGAACATTTTCGCCTTGAAATCTCTTAGCCCTATAGCGTAGCTTGAACCGAAACTTCAGCTTTCATTTTTGTTTTGTTTCCAGAGTTCCAAACCCCACACGACTGTGACTGCCCTAAATGACCTGGTACCGATCAGGTAAGTACACCTACTTTTTTTTATGACCACTTCAAAGATCATTTTATGTTACAGAATTACCAACATTGTGACATATTTAGGCCCGACTGGAGAAATTTGAAAACGGCGTTTTCACTCTGAAAAGGCATCAAATGTTTTCCGTCCACAGTAAGCCCGGGAGAAAATGAAAACGCGACAATCACCGTTCGTTTTCGCTTTGTGTTTGAGAGAAACTCGGGCAGGGAAAACAAATGAGTATTGTGACTTCATTGTTTTCGAAAAGCTCCTTTTTCCAAATTGTTTTCCGTCCACATTAAAACGAAAAGCCGGCGTTTTCAAATTCCTCCGGTTTGAAAAGCGGTTTTGAAAAGCTGCGTTTTCGTGCCGGATTAGTATGGACGTTGCGCCTAACCGTAGAAATAAAGCTGCGTTTTCCAATTTCTCCGGCGTAGTGTGGCCGGGGCCTTAAAAATTATCGTAGCCTCATTTCTCCTTTTGTTTTCTAGCCGCTGTTAATAAAATCGTTTTTTTTTGTTTTTTTTTTTTTTGGCAACAGAGCTCGTCGCCAAATCATTTACCCATTAGATGAACTTGGTGGAAATGCCCCGTCACAACGGATTTTAGCAAACAAGGTATCTTGACGGACTTTGTTTTTTTGTCGGATATACGTGGTTTGGATATT